CAGCAGTTGATTGATAATAGAAACCGACATTAATGACGATGACGTCAGTGTCGGGTCTGGATCTGGTCCTGTGGTTCTGAAGTTACAGTAACCTGCCAAACAAACAATAAAAGTCATGCGAAGTTACCTCCGCCGTCTGTGTGGAGAACGTCAGGCCTGAGTCGGACATGTTGTTTTTCAAAAATGTTTATCTGTCAGATGCCACGGCCTCATTAAAATGACAGGTTCACAGTGTAGTAGTGTAGTACACAGAATATGGGAGAGTATTTGTAAAAAAAGATCCCAGGAAGGTGAACTTTAATATTCTTTATTCTTTGAATGTTTCAGTGTGTGTGTGTGTGTGTGTGTAATCACTACTGGTCAAAAATGTCATTTGTTTAATCTTTTGTTACCTTCAGTCTTTAGGTCTTTAAGTCAAACAGTTCCAAGACAAGGTAACACCTTCCAAATGTGTTAAGTTATATCGTAGTAATGGTTAAGTTCTAAAGAAAAGCAGGTTGTGACCAGGTGTCAAAGGTCATCCTCCAGAATTCTACAAAGAAAGAATTCTGTAAAAAATCAGTAGAAATGTTATACTGAGGGATGGGTTGACATATACGAGAGCTTCGTTGTTGGAAATGTTTCAGTATCCTGATTCTAAGTGAGCCCCAAATGGAACCGGATGGACAGGGATGACATTCCCAGTGTGAATGTGAGTTACGTTGACAACGCTCTGCGTTCCGTTCTCCCACATCCAGAGTCTTTGTTACAGTTTTGCATTGATGCCACTCTGGAACTTGATGGAACTTTTTTTTTGCGAAGACAGATTGCTGGACCTCCATCAACAGGGGAAATTTGTTTCCATAAAGTTGCTTTAAAAAGAGCTACAGTGTTCTGATACAACCATTCATCTGCAGCCAGAGCTGTCTGGCACCCTCTTTAACGGCCCTCTTTTGTAGCGCTTTGCTTTTGTTGGGAGGTTGACAGTAGCAAGTGACAGGAAACACAGGGAACTGGAGGAGAGGATGATGTGAGGCAACGTTTGCCAGTGTGACTCAAACTGGAGACGTTGCTGACAACAATAAAGTCTTTTTAGGGAGAGAAAAAAAAAAACATCCCCTCATTTCTGACCTCTGTCTTTTTTAAATAATTGCTTAGAACTTTTCAAACCTTTGGCTGATGCACGTGCACATAGATGTTACCCAAGATCCTGTTTGGTGATCTCAGCGCAGGCTGTAGCTGGGCCGTGAATGAGTGAAGCCGCTCTGAAGTCAGTGTTTATGGAGGGCCTCGTTCCCTCAGAGGGAAGAACCAAAGTTAAATAAATACTTGCTCCATCCTGTCTGCATTAAGAGCCTGCACACATGGCTTTGACGTCAGAGTGACATTAAACAGGGTGGGGTGGCCCAGCCGGCTCTGACAGGCATGTGCACACACGCACACGTTCACTTACACACACACCCACACACACACACACACGCTCACACTCTTCCATAGCCTGGTATTCAAATCTGTCCTTCCTTTTTCTTGTGTAGCTCTCTCTCTCGCTCTCTCTCTCTCTCTCTCTCTCTCTCTTTAAAGGATCAAACTTTGACCACCTGAAATAATAGGTCATTTGCTGTGTGAGTGTTGTCAGCTGGAGATTACAAAACATGTAACAGTTGCCAGAATTGCTAGCTATGCAGATCTTGAAATATGGCTTCTTCAAAAACTCTTTCTTTTACTTGCCTCTTTCCAAACTTCAAAACAACATAGCGTTACTGTCTTCAAGACCCTGCTGGCCACTTATGGCACTGCACCCATGACGTCCCTCCTCATGTACGGAGTGGGACGCTCCCCATGTTTGAACACCAGCTCCTGATAAATGGTTGGACACAGTTTGGTTACTTTTTGTCCAGCTTGTCTGACTGTAATTCTGTTTGTGGAGCATTTGTACATCAGGTGTGTGAAAGGTTGTCTGATCCAGAACAAACAGCAGCAGTGTGTCTTCAGAGAGAGTGTGTGATTGTGTTCAACATTTGACTTTCCTTTCCCCTCTGATGAAACTGAAAAAGTGTTTGTGCCACTGCTTACGTATGTATTTGTACATCTGCTGTAGTGTGTGTGTGTGTGTGTGTGTGCATGAGTGCGCCTGCCCTCCAGCTCTATAACAGGTTTTCCTACATGCCTGCTGTTAGCTTGGATCCAGTGGCTCTACACGAACAACATCAACATGCTGCTGCTCCGTTTGCTCCTTTTTAACTTTTTCATCATTCAAATGTAAACTGCAGTCCAGCTCAGTAATGTAGCCTGAAGTAACACAGGATCTCACCTCATCGTGTCTGCAGGATTTAAGAAGTCGTTCTCAACAATATTAAAATATGTGACTGTTTTGTCAGTCAGACTGTCAGTTGTAGACTGACCGACTGTCCTGATCTCAGTCAGGCTGGACTGACACAAGCTGGGCCGCTGACCTGAGGTTGAAGCCGCCACAAACACATGCTGGGAGTTGATGATGAGATTTGACGATCCAGGTGCTTTGGTGAAACGTAAGCTGTTTTTGTCCGAACAGTTCATTAGAGCAACAGGAAGTTGCTGGACGACTAAGTGATTTATCATACAGTGTGTGTCGTTCTGCGCATTCATTTAAATGTGTCCGAATTTTAATGGGATTTGTTTCATGAACTGATTTTCTCATTTAACACTTTAACACCTTAACTTAACAGCCATAGTAATTAGTCATATAAAAGTTTCAGTTAATGAGTTAATGAGGCTACTTAACCACCGAAAACAAAAGAAGAAACTCCTGAATGTTCTTTTTGTTTCGTTGGACTTGTTATCACAGCACGGCCAAACTCAGCATTTCTAATCCTCAGGTCGACATAAACCAAAGGTCGTGCAGAAGTCAGTATTTCCTAATCAGAAAAATGTCCGTTGATCTGTTGACACCGGCAGTGACGGCAGGATTATCAGCGATTATTGTTCTGTTGACGAAATCCATACGATGCTTTGCTAGCTTAAAAAATAACCAAGTTGATCTGGAAATGACCTGGGATGCTTCCAAACCTATTTCACAGTCAACAACTCCCTGGTTAAAAATAGTTCATTTCCTAACTCGATGCACTCAGCACTCGTGTGTGTGTGTGTTTGTAGGGTGTTGTTTTGCAGGTGTTTGACCACAGTGACCCCCGCTGTGTGTTTTTGTCACAGCGTCACGTGTCACTGCCGGCCAGCTGGTGTCTTGTGAACTTAGCTGACAGAGGATTTCCCTCTTTGTCATTGTCAAACTGACACATCCTACATGGTTCACTTGAGTTAAGGCTACTTTACCCACTAATGTTTTAAATCTGTGGAGATGTAATGACGGGGATAACGATGGTGAGGGGTGTTATTCTGCTGACTCTAAAACCAGATGTCTGTCAATGGCCTAGTTTTTTTTTTCCTAGTTCCCGCCTCTATTTTTCCACTGTGTAATCAACTGTGAAATAATAAATACCCAGGAGGAAATACTGCAACGAGAAATTGTAATTGTGAAAACAGCATGTGTTGAATGTAAGTTTTTTTTCTGCAGTGTTATCTCTATATAAAATATGTTGCTGTGAGCACAGCCACCAGAGCTAACGTTAGCTACAACAGTCCTGGTACAGACACCAGAGCTAACATTTTGTTAGCTATAGCACATCTGTATAGTCAGCAGTCAAATTACAATAGGTTATTTTCATTTTGTGCTTCAAAAAATCCTAGTGACAAACATTAGTGCTAAACTACATTCAGGGGCATTTTAGCTTGCTTGCTAACAGCAAAACCACATAATGTCAGTGTCTTTTTTTCACTGCAGGGCAAACCTTCATCATATGAATTTTTTTGAAGGACTGGAAGAAAGTACTAGGACAATGAGCTCTTTGTGAATACACTCACACTGACAGTGGAAAATAAATCAGCCCTCCATTCCAACACGTCCATTTACATTGATATATACAGTATGTTGACAGGTGAATGCACGTCCTGCTGACTAGCTGCTCACAGCATCCTCCCTATTAGAACTTAGAAAAACATCAAGTGATTGTTGTTGTTGTTGTTGTTGCTTTTCTGGATTAACTTATTTATGTTCTGTAAGTGTCATACAGCGTCAAATATAAAACAACCCATAAATAATACAGATGAAACATTACAGTACTGACGGGAGAACATGGAGGGATCCATTGAGTCA